AGCAATGAGTTCATTTCTCCAAGTTGTCAAATTTAAGTGTATATATTTGTTTATAGTAGTTCCTTATTATCCTTCAGCTGTGATCTCATCTTTCATCCCTAATATTGGTAATCGTGTCTTCTCCCTTTTTTCTTTGCCAGCCTTGCCAAAGGTCTGTCAATTTCATTCACATTTTTAACTATTCTTTTTTTTTTTAATTTTTTTATTGATTATGCTGTTACAGTTGTTCTATTCCCCCTTTATTCCCCTCCACCCTACCCCTCATCCCCACCATTACCCCCCTTTAGCTTATGACCATGTGTCTCAAGTCCTTTAGATTCTATATTTCCCATGCTATTCTTGCCCCCCCATCTATTTTCTATCTACTGTCTATGCTACTTATTTTCTGTACCTTCTCCCCCCTTCTCCTCCTCCCACTCCCCTGTTGCTAACCCTCCTTGAGATCTTCATTTCTATGTTTCCACTCCTGATCTAGCTGTCCTTTTAGTTTGCTTTCGTTTTAGGTGTGGTTGTTAATAACTGTGAGTTTGTTGTCCTTTCACTGTTCATGTTTCTTTAACTTCTTTTTCTTAGATAAGTCCCTTTAACATTTCATATAATAAGGGCTTGGTGATGATGAACTCCTTGAATTTAATCTTATCTGAGAAGCACTTTATCTGTCCTTCCATTTTAAATGAAAGTTTTGCTGGATAGAGCAATCTTGGATGTAGGTCTTTAAATTTCATGACTTGGAATACCTTTTTCCAGCCCCTTCTTGCCTCTAAAGTCTCTTTTGAGAAATCCACTGACAGTCTGATGGGGACTCCTTTATAGGTGATTGTCCCCTTAGCTCTTGCTGCTTCTAGGATTCTCTCCTTCATTTTAATTTTGGCTAATGTAATTATGATGTGCCTTGGTGGACCAGAAGAAAGCAAATAATGGCCAAACAGAAAAGAGTCAAGAAGCAAGAATTCAAAGAAATGAGGAGAGTCTTAGGAACCTCCAGGACATCTTTAAACGCTCCAACATTTTTAACTATTCTAATAGTTAAAAATCAGAAATGAAATAAGGACATTACTATTGATGTTACAGTATCAAAAGAATTATAAGTAAATACTTGAAACAACTATATGTCAACAAGTTAGATAATTTGGATGAAAAACAAAAATTCTTAGAAAGCACAAAGTTATGGAAACTGATACAAAAAGAAATAAGACATCAGACTAGATCTATAACAGGTAAAGAGATTGAATCAATAATTTAAAAACTTTTCAAAAAAGAAAAAACCCAAGATTAGGAGGTGTCATGATAAATTCCACCAAATATTTAAAGAATTAATACCATCTCTTCACAAACTTTTCCAAATTCATTCTCCGAGGTCAGTATCACCTGATACCAAAAGCAGACAAAGACAGCACAGATGTGCCTTGCTGTGTGCTTCCTTGGGCCAAATTCTTTGGGACTCTCAGAGCTTCCTGGACTTTCTGGAAGTCTATTTCCTTCATCAGATTGGGGTGGGGAGGTTCCTTCATTATTTGTTCAAATAAGTTTTCAATTTCTTTGCCTTACTCTTCTCCTTCTGGCACCCCTATGATTCGAATGTTGAAACATTTAAAGTTGTCCCAGAGGTTCCTAAACCTGTCCTCATTTTTTTGAATCCTTGTGTCTTCATTCTCTTCTAGTTCTGGTCCAAAGTTCCTTCTGGTCCAAAGCATTGACTTGAGTCCTGATTTCCTTCCCTTCATAGTCAGTTCCCTGTATATTTTTCTTTATTTCACTTTGCACAGCCTTCATTTTTTTCTCTATTTTGTGGCCATACATAATAATTTCTGTGAGCATCCTGATTACAAGTGTTTTGAATTCTGAATCTCAGAAGTTGACTATCTCTTCACCGCTTAGTTCTGTTTTTGTAGTTTGGGTCTTTCTTTCATTTGAGCCATATTTCTATGTCTCAGTGTACCTGTTACGTTGTAAGAGGTAGAGCCTTAGGTATTCACCAGGATGAGGCAATCCACGTGGCTGTGTTGTGGTGCTATATGTGGGGCAGGGCTCCAAGAGGGAACAATGCCACTTGCTTGGCTCTCAGCCAGCTTTCATTTACTTCCTATGCTACCCACAAGCAAATTGGGCCCTTCTGGCGCTGATTCCCAGGTCAGTGAGTTCTAGGAGCCTGTGGCTCTCTCAAATGAACTCTCCTGCGAGGCCGGGAGTTTTTTCTGCTGCCTTGATTCCCACTGGCTTTTACAGCCAGATATTTTGTGGCTTTATTTCCCCATGCTGGCACTCTGAGTTGCATGGTCTGTCTCACTCCCCAGTTGTCCCTCCCCATTTAAATGCACTCAACTGTGGGACTGCCAGCCACTGCCTTGCCGCACATCCTCTCCACACGGCTGCCCATCTCTATCCCTCCTACTAGTCTGGATGAATGTTTCTTCTTTAATTCCTTTGTTACCAGATTTCCATACAGTTCAATTTTCTGGTAGTTCTTTTTTTTAAATTTGTTGTCCTTTTGGTTATGCAAGGAGGCAAACTATATCTATTTACTCCTCCATCTTGGCTGGAAGTCCTCATCTTTTTCATTCTTTAACCTCATTGTTGGACTATTCTGAGCAACTAAATTCTGAAAAGCTAATCAGGAGGCCGAATGTTCTGTAATCCTTTTCAGCATAAATTGTAGTCATTTTACTCCATAAAAAGCAGTTCTTCTCTGTCCTCCACCATAAATGACTTAAAAAACTGTCACAAAAGATAGTCTCTCTTTTACACAAACTGTTCTGAATCTTCTAAATTTAGAAAAAGCCATTTAAAAGGCTTTAGCCTATTAATTCCATCTGATAGATTACAATTGATATTTGGAAACCAATATAATGAAAGAGAAAAACTAGCTCCTACCATTGTACATGCATGCGTAAGTTACAAAATCATGAGTTGGCTTGTGTATAACAAAAGTAATACACCCATTATAATAGGTGGAGAAATTATACTCTTAATGATATACTTTTTTTCTCAAGAAAACAAGTTGCAAAGAGTTGAGCGATTTGGGAGGCATATTAACTACTTACAGATAGGAAAATGTCCTCTCCCCTCTCCCCTGTCCCACCCAACTCCATTTTCAGTGCTCACACTACATAAAAGCTAAACAAATGTATTAATTCAGAGGTGCAACAGTCTTCATGTCAGTCACCATGATAACTCACGATTAAAGTATTTAACTCATCAAAGGAGTTCCTGGTAAAGGAATGGCCTAACAAAGATATGGTCTACACAATTTCAGTTATCATACAGAATATGTTTAAGGATAAATATTCATTTACATGTTTGGTATCATGTGGATTCAGCTAAAGCCAGTGAATTTCTAAAAGCCCCTGTTTACTTTGCACTATTTGCTCACCTTAGAGTATGACTCAGTAAGGGTGAGTAAAGTGTGAGTAATGAGTAGCCACAGTGAATTCCTTTCTCATGGATGCTGATGATGCAGAATTAAAGGTAGATTTATTCTTTAATTTATCTAATAGATAGTTATAAGCACTTGGTCTCAAATTTTGGCCTCTCTAACAGTTATTTCCAAATTTTAAAACATTGCAAGATAGACTTTCAGAAAATTTTCCTTGAAAAAATTTATCTTCATGACCATTTTAAAGATTTGGGTCTATTTACATTGCATAGAAGTCTGAATGCATATTTTTTTCAAAGGGGGAAGTGATTAACTTTGCATTTTGTAGTCATTTTACTCCATAAAAAGCAGTTCTTCTCTGTCCTCCACCATAAATGACTTAAAAAACTGTCACAAAAGATAGTCTCTCTTTTACACAAACTGTTCTGAATCTTCTAAATTTAGAAAAACATACAAATTTAGGTATTAGAAAATGTATTTATAATGAGTAGGCTTAGCAGTTTTCAAAGGGCAATTCTGCATATTTTATGTTGTCCTATGCTTTTCTATCTAGCAGTAACCAGAATTGCAACTATATATTTATTTGAACAGTCATTGATTTAATGATGGTGTCAGAAATGAGAAATATGACTCTTAAGATAACTACCATATCCTTGACACACAACTTTCTGGTACATAGTTGGTGTTTTAAAGTTTTTGGTTGAATGAGTAAATAAATAGAATACTCTAAATAGTAGATAATATTATGGAAAAGAGTCAGTGATTTAGAAGGATTTTTACATAATTTGGAATTAAGCCTTTTAATGTAAAAAAATTTTTAAATGAAGGTAAAAAATATAAACTCATTTGGGAAGTCATTCAGAGTGCCTTTCCAGCCAGGATGTGCCCTGCCCTTGGTTCTCAGACCTGAGTATATGCGTTCATACATGCAAATGAGCTTGTTATGACCCTGAGGCAGCATGAGGCAGGCTGAAAAGTCCATGCCGTAACAGTGAGTCAACCTGTGTACTCTATGAACTCACTGATTACAAGTTACCCTGTTGGGCTTATCACTAAGAGCACACTGAGCTTTGGCTAATTCTGCATGGCTTCCTCCTGATCACTACCCCACAGCACTCTTGAAAGAAACTCAACTACTAACTGAGACCAGTGGCCCCTATTCCAAGTCCTAAGGCGTACTAATAAAATTCCCATTGTAGAGAAAAGGCTTGGGATCTAGTGGATCATTAGTCATGGCCACAGAAGATAGGGAACAGAAGAGAGTTACCCGCCCCCTCCAAAAAAAGAAGTCTAGGATACGGGACATAACACAGGACTCAAGTAAAATTCATGGGTCGTGTTCTTTGGCATTAAGTATTGGTAGTCCCATCCTTGAGTCTATACTCTAAAAGGTGGTTTAATTTGGGTGATGTATTTAATGGACAATTTCCAGTTATGTTTTTTGTTAGGATTTAAAAACGTGAAAGGATAGGAGAACCACTGGGCAGAGTTATTTGTAGAAATATGGGTAATGTTTTCTCTACCTTAGATAGCATTCCAGCTTAGTCAATAAGTCCCCTTTACACATTTTTTAATTACAACTTAAATTGTGAACAAAAGAGGTAAAAAATAAAAAATCACAGCCTACCCACAACGCGTTCCATTTGTCACATTCTGGTTGAGAGAGCTGTTGGTCCACACTATGGTGTTATTTACACATGCTTTTCCAGGAATCTGGAGTTCTTGCAGTTCATTTTCATAGTCAATAAAAACATCTGTCATGGTGCCAAAAATGAGTAGCACGCCTGGATGGGCTAGTCCATGGAGAAATGCACATATACCTCCTACACACATCAGCCAAATGTCAGTCGCTGAAGCAAATCGAAACTTGAAAAACAAAAGAGTCAGAGATCATCTATGGGTGCAAAGCAGGAGAGGCAGGAGAACTATTTCATGTTAGTTACTCCATTCTGATAAATAGTATTGAACACTAAACTTTGTGGGATCCTCTTAATGAACAACAGAATTCTCACTAATTTTATCAAAATAAATGGTGTATCCATTGTCTAGAACATTAGACTCTTACATTGTCTGTCCATATACTTCTTTCCTGGTTTCTGAATTTACTTTTTTCTTTTTAATCTCAAGAGCTGACTTTAGCTCTTAGTTATTTGTCCACAACTTAAGGGAGAAACTGCCACCAGCACAACGGATACCATTGCCATGCGCATCTGCTGTATGGGGTGTTCAGCAATAGTATGAATTGTCTCCCAGAACTAATACTGACAATGAAGAGTGCTCACTTGTGTCTAAAAATGGCTCCACTTGGTATAGACTTGGAGAAAATACTTATACTGTGGAATTTCTGATGTCTTATCATAAGAATACATATACGTGATATGATTACTGTGATGATTCTCCTTACAAAAATAATTATAAACTTAGTTAATTATTTTCCAGGACACTTTTCTGATCTATCTGGTGTATTTAATCAGCAATATATTTCTAATTGTTAGTGAGCTATGTTATCCCATAAGACAAATCTTATGACTAAAAAAGTGATCACTGTATTTAAAAACCTGCCAATATGACTAATGATTTAACACTTCCTCCATGGTCTGAACAATTCATAGTTGCAAAATTATGTCCTATATTGGTACAGTTTTATTACCAATTGAAAGAAGCCAACTTGACTGCTGTCACCTTTCTTCTCATTTTGTAACCTGAGGAGAAAAAAATAGGAATTTACAGACTATCATTTCCAAACAATGAGAAATTCTCCTTAGGTGGTAATTTTATGAGTCATTCCTTCTCTTCTCTTCACTCTTCACCTGCGGATATGTTTATTGATTTGAGAGAGAGAGGAAAGAAGAGAGAGGAACATCAATCTATTGTTCCACTTATTGATGCATTCATTGCTTGATTCGTGGGTGTGCCATGACAGGGGATCAAACCTGCAACCTTGGTGTATCAGGACAGTGCTGTAACCAACTGAGCTGTTGTCCAGAGTTATGAGTCATCCTCAGTAAGAAATAAAAGCCCCCCTCTGGCTGAGAAATTCTTGCCAAACAAGGTACCTTAAAAACAAGATTTTATTCTTCAGATTTACCTCTTCTGTATAGCTATATGTAGAGAGAATTCAGTATAAGTATATGTCATGCTCAGTAGAGGTTCACTGAGGTTTTTCTTAAGGAACTGAAAGAAAATAAAAAGTAGTCTGTATGCTCAATTATAGTAATAAATAACCATTGGATTCAATTGTTGATCATTATGTATTTATTGCCATTTTAAGGTTCATAGTTTTGATCTTTTTCTTAAATAAGTCTCTTTAACATTTCAATTTCACATAATAATGGTTTGGTGATGATGAAATTCTTTAGCATAAACTAAGCAAACAAGCAGAACAGAAACAGAATCATTAATTTGAAAAACATTGGGAGAGTGGCCAGTGGGGAGGTGGGGTCTGGTGGAATGGGGGGCAAGGTGAAGGGATTAAGAAGTACAAATTGGTAGGTACATAATAGAAAGGGGGATTTTAAGAGCAAGTATAGGAAGTTGGGTAGTAAAGAACTTATATGCATGACCCATGGACATGAACTAAAGAGGGGGGAATCACCAGAGGGAGTGGAGGTGCTGGGTGGATGGGGCAAAGGGATAAAAATTGGGAGAACTATTATAGCATCATCAATAAAAAATAACTATTGGAGTTCAGTCTTGACCACCTATTTCTACACACATTTCCTTGGGGATAAATTGAAGTGGTCAGATTACTGATTTAAAACTTCCTTCAAGTGTTTAAAAAATTTTATAACTACATTAAATAATATTGATATGCTAAAAAGTTCCCCCTAAACTTCTATACTTTCCATAAAATTATATTTTCTTAGTATCTCTTATTTATTTTATTTCTCATAAAGTTATACTTAACCCATCTTTGACCTTCTCAACTCCAGGAATCTCTAGTTCAGCTGAGTCATTCATTCATGGATACACCCTGGACCTTGACTTCACCAGGAACTACTCTACTCCATCGCACGCAGGGACAGTTCAGGCATTTTGTTTTCTCGCTTCCTTCCCCCTTCCACAGCTATTTGTCATCTCACTTGAGACATGCAGTCCTTTAAACCTTCCACTTACTTATAATTGCAAAGCCTCATCAAGATTTTGCTTCCTTCCCAGTGAATTCCAGATCCCACTATCTGCCAATTGAACCACACTCTCGATATCACCCTCAATCATTTTCCCCAAACTCTTCTGTGGAAACTCCATCTTTGCATCCATCCAGCATGTTTGCCCTCTTCTCCTGAAACAGGCTACTAGGCCAACTGGAGACAACCTCTCCAGTCGAATGCTAGACACATGCCGTGTTTAGCATTCACTTGCCCTGAGTTTGTGTTATAGAAACCTAAATCCTGGAGAAACATTCAAGGCCCTCTATGGTCTGGTCAACTGGATCTCTCACCTTGTCTCCTCTTACCGCATTCCAGTTCTCACCACGTGAGCCACCTGGCCTCTTTGCTGACTTTGTCCATGCCAAATTTATTTTCACCCCTGGGCATTTGCACTTGCTATTTCCTCTTGCCACAATGCTGTCTCTTTAGATGTATACATGGCCAATTCCCTCACCTTCTTCAGACCTTCCCCCTCAAAACTCACCTTCTCAATGAGGCCTTCCCTAATCAAAGTCATTAAAATGTCAATTTTCCCCACATCACTTCATAACTCCATTCCATATTTACTTTTCTCTTTGTAGAAAGAAAAAGTGATCAATTATCACTATTTACCATGCTATATGTTTTATTTATTTATGGTTATTATTATGTCTTCCTCGCTATAATGCAAGCTCTTCAAGGAGAGAGATTTTTGCCTAATTTGTTCTTTTCTGTGCCTCAGCACTAATTTTGGTGTCTGACACCCAGTGGACCACTCAATTAATATTTGTGAAATATCGACTGTGAAATAATGAATGAATGAGTATGGTCTCCAGCCTTAGCTCAATCCAAACTCTGTACTTCATCCCTCTAGAGATTGTTCCCTTCCCCTCAGCAACTTTATCAAACTTTCACTCTTATCTTTTCATTCAATATTATCACATCTTTTAGGAGATAGATTCATCTCTCCTCTAAAAACCAAAGAACTTACTTAAACATCCTGTTCAGTGTCTCATCACCTTTCATCTACACTGACACATATTTTCATATCTTTCCCACCCAGTATAATTCTTCTAGGCCTAGGCTGGTCCTACCACTCCTAGTCCAAAACTAATGTGGCCACACCCAACCCCTCCCTCTGCCGTGAGTTACTTAGAATTTCTTAAATACCTTCAACCTCTTCCTTTCCACCACTTCTATTATAACAACTTGCTTGGCTCCTCCCTTCTGTCTTCTAAATTAGACTCCATGTATTTTTGCGCTCTTCTCAAAGTATAACTAACTGATATTTATTTTATATGAGAATTTAAACTCTTAAACTAAAGAGGAATATTAATTAATTTAGTTTTAGTTTTCTCCTATTTGCTTGTGGGAAGAATCTGGGTCTTAGGTACCCCCCCTGTACCATGAAATCATAATTGTTCAACTTTTCTTCTACTGTTTAGGTCTGAATCCTGTACTGTTCCTGGATACACAGGGGAGATTTGGACCTAGACTAGAAGGAATATTCCAAAAGGTTTTTGAAATCAAATTATATTATAGTAAATCTAAAGAGAAAAATAATGGATTATCTATACCACTTTATAGGAAGTACAACATATATAAAAAAATTTTTCTGCCCTGGCTGGTGTGGCTCAGTGGATTGAGTGTGTGCCTGTGAGCCAAAGGGTCACCAGTTCAATTCCCAGTCAGAGCATATGCCTGGATTGTGGGCCAGGTCCCCAGTAGGGGGTGCACAAGAGGCAACTACACATTGATCTTTCTCTCCACTCTTTCTCCCTCCCTTCCGACTCTGTCTAAAAATAAATAAATAAATAAATAAATAAATAAATAAATAAATAAATATTTTAAATATTTTTTTATTTTGTGCCTTTTATAGACAAATTGTAGAGTTATTCTACAAAACATGCATTGTTTTGGAGATTAAACTTTTGTCCGAGGTATCATTGGCAAATATGTTTTCCCATACAGTTGGTTGTCTTTTTAATTTAATACTGTTTTCTTTAGCCATGCAGAAGCTTTTTATTTTGATGAGCTCCCATTTGTTTATTCTTTCCTTTATATTCCTTGCTCTAGGGGACATATCGGTAAAAATGTTGCTGCGTGGAATATCTGATATTTTCTTGCCAATGTTCTCCTCTAGGACTTTAATGGTGTCACGGCTTATATTTAAGTCTTTTATCCACCTTGAATTTATTTTGGTGTATGGTGTAAGTTGGTGCTCAAGTTTCATTTTTTTTGCACGTAGCTGTCCAGTTCTCCCAACACCATTTGTTGAAGAGGCTATCTTTACTCCATTTTATGTTACTGGCCCCTTTGTCAAATATTAATTGACTGTAGAGAGTTGGGTTGATTTCCGGGCTCTCTGTTCTGTTCCATTGGTCTATGTGCCTGTTTTTATGCCAGTATCAGGCTGTTTTGATTATAGTGGCTTTGTAATACAGTTTGATATCAGGTATTGTGATCCCTCCTACTTTGTTCTTCTTTCTCAAAAGAGCAGCTGCACCATATGATCTCACCTTTAACAGGAAGCTAAACAACAAAACAAACAAGCAAACAGAATAAAAACAAAGACACTGAAATAGAGAACAAGTGGGCAGCAACCAGAGGGGAGAGGGAAGGGAATTTAAGGGGAAAAATGGGGAGGGATTTTGAGGAACAAGTATGAAAGACACAGGGATGAGGACTGGGGTAGGGGGGGAATGGGAGGGAGGTGGGGAGATGGGGCAGCGGGGGCTGGGATGGGAGAAATAGACAAAAAAAACTACTAGAAAAATAACTAAATAAAAAATATATATTAAAAAAAAACATGCATTGTTGAAATAGTCACTTACCGTGAATTCTTATCATTGTTATCTGTCAGAAAAAAAAAAAACAATGCATAAGGCAGTTAATAATGACAAAATACAACATAATCACTAACAATTTTGCTCTGGGAAAAAAAATTTCTATAAATTACTTTTGTTCATGAAACATAGCAAAATGATTATTTGCTTTTTCTCCTTTCTATTATTCTCTCTTTACATATATATGAAGAAGGTATTCTTTCAGGATTAAGACTGCTGGCTTGCGTACATTTCTGGACTTTTCTCTAGGATATGAAATGTATCTTCTGAATATCAACTGGAAACCAACATTTCTAAATTATCTGAAGAAGATATGATTTTTTGAACTGCCACATCAAAGGACAAAACCAGCTCCATTTGCTATTATGGTACCATATGCTGAGCAGGCCTAGGACCTTATTAAACACGACTGCCATTTTACTCTTCTGAGCTTGTGTCTCCAGGATTGGAAATTACTGTAAAGCAAGAACAGAACATGACTAACCACAACCCACAGCTACAGGCAGAAGATAACACTGGAGCAAACTGCAGCTTATGCAAAACCACCCAAAACCTCCTTTGTTGCAATGCTCCCAACAGCCTGTGGTCCACGCAACAGCTCCCATACTTTTATAATGCAATTATAACCCAATAAAAGCTCAAAGCTCCCACCCCTCAATAGTAAATCTAAACAGATTTACTATCTCTAAAGAGATACACCAGAGCTGGTATATCTTTTCATACCCTGCCCCCTTTCACTCTTGGAAAGTAATAACTTTGCTCTCTGAATTTTCTTGTCTTTGTGAATTTTCACACTGCCTGCATCCCCAACCACCCTAATACCAGGTAAAATGAATATTTATTATTTGTTTTTTAAGAAACATCAGAATTTATCTATTTAAAATTTAGACCACAAAATAACTATGCAGTATGATACCATTGATATTTACACACTAGTAGAAGCCATAGGATTGAGCTGCATATTATTTTCCCCAGCATAAGTCAGAGCAGGTGGAGTGTAGGAAGTAAAAGGGCCTGAGGTAGCGTTGTAGACTGCTCTGCCTGGTTTTAGGAATTGTATCTTGACCCCTTGTGGCTAAGGGCGAGGGATGACCTTTGGAATGCGAGCTGCAGGAGACAAAGCTTGTCTCTAGTAGCAAATGCTGCCTCAGTTTCCTCTCCTTGCCCCCAAAGCTTGGTTGGAGTCAATGATGGGTAAGACCCCTCACAGTGGGGGAGCAACCTAAGCTACACTCATCACTTGGGAGGCCTTCATGGAAGGACTCAGGGGGCTGCAACAAAGAGCATGGACTCTCACGCCGCGCCCCCCCCCTTGACATAGCCCCAGGCCCCATGTTCTCTGGGAGAAGTCCTTCCTGGCTCTAATCCTCTTAAGCCTGATTACCTGTTCGGAGACTTGCAGCTCCTTGCTTTGCTAGACCATGTCCTGGGGAAAAATCTGACATCACAAAGACTTGCTGATAAACCTGTGAAATCTGCTCTGCTAAGAGTGCTTTCATTCATATGATAAGGGTCCGAGAGGAAATAAGTATGTCTCCCAAAGTTTCTGCAACTCTTTCTGACAGACACTGACTCATAGTAAGCCCTCGGATTTCTTTGAAACGTTATCTACTGTTTGATCCTTGTTGCCCTGTATTCCTGTGTATTACAACCCAATAAAAGCTATGGCACAGGGGACTCAGGGCCTTTTTCTCCTCGGAGAAACTGGCCACTGTTGGCCTTTGTCTCCCCTGAGAAACTGGCCACGGCCCACTTCTCCTTCCCAAACAGATCACAGCATCTCTTGGCCATATTCACTAGTGTCCGTGGCACCCGGGGGAACTTGCGAGAAAGTTGCTCCCAGAGAGAAGCCACAGGGAAAGGAACCCAAGTTGCCAGTGTCAACCATTACCATAGACTGGCACATCCTAATTCTCCCAGCATTTTAATTTAAATAAGTAAGAACAAAGAGCCATCATCGTATAAATAGAGATTAATATAGGTTTGGGAATCAGAGAGAACTGGATTATGATTATGGCTCCATTATTAGTCATGTGATCTTTGCCAAGTTTTGAAAAAATTTATCCAAGTCTTGGTTTCGTAAAATCATAAGATTTGTTTAAAAAATGAGAGTAGCTTAGAATCATTTGTGCTCACTATATGCCAGGTCCTAGCCCCCTCCATTCTGCCAGCACGGTCCTGGTACAGTTCCTCTCAAGGAGCAGTGCTTGCTGAACAGCTACTACTCTAATTAATTATTACAATGTATGAATAGAGGTAATAATAATAGCCTATGTTGGAAAAACCTTGATCTGCCTAGGAAAGAGATTATTTATAGGTTAGATAATTCATGCGCTCATATTTTGTGCATTTTTACCACAGCATTTTCAGACATTCCATTACATGGATTCTGGGAGCAGCACCCATTCATGTGTGAGAAACATGTTCAGTAATAGTTCTAAATACTGTTGATGATTTTCTCTGCCCCTTGAAACCTTACTGGCTTGTTCCACTTTTGTTCTAAGCTGGTCTTTTTTTACAACCAAAAGTGAGAGAAAAAGGCCACTTACATGACCCATCTGACTCAAAACCACGATTCTCCTCTCCTAATTTCTTCACGCTTCGAAGAATTACTGAGTCAGACATGGTAATTGCAGCCAGTAACCCTGTAAGATAAAATAAAAGAATGATTACAATGATCCCTTCTTTAAGCAAAGCAGCAAAACTTAAGAACAATTTGGTTCAAGAAGAACACCTTTACTAACAATCTCATAAAAAGATTGTTTAAGTGATCAATAACCCCATGAAAGAGAATAATGATTACGAAAGATAAACCCAAACCATTAATTATAGATTTCTCAGGCTGAAGAATGGATAGTTGCTTTTTTAATTCTCTGTTCTTCCGGCTTATCTGTCCTTTTTTCTTTCCTTCCTTTCTTTCTATCAGTAAAAAGAAAAATAACTATGCCCTGACCAGCATGGCTCAGTGGCTTGGGCATTACCCTGTAAGCCAAAATTCGATTCTCAGTCGGGACACATGCCTGAGTTGTGGGTTCTGTCCCCAGTTGGGGCATATGCAAGAGAATACTGATCAGTGTTTCTCTCCATTACTCCCTTCCCCTCTCTGGAATCAATATCAGAAATTTCTTAAAAAATACACTGGAAGTGCACAACCAATGGACAAAGTTTTGGGGTCAATATCTGACAAATGACACTCAAACACCAGTGGGCAGCCTTCGGAGCTCCATTGTAGATAAAGCTCCCAGATCCAGGACGCAGCAAGGCCAGTGTGGACCAGAGCTGCTAACCAACTTGTTTCAGAAAACAAGTGTAATCTTGACATCAAAACAAACAAAAATCATAAATACTTTTTAAAATAGGTTTGAAGTCATTAAATAAGATATGTTGAGTATCGTTCCAAAGTTTTCATTATATGAAAACATATAATGAGCAATGTTAACCCCCAAAATGCAGTGACTGTTCATTGTAAAGTTATTTTGATCATTTTGATATAAGCAGAAAAGTATTCAATAAAAATCAAACTCCATTCTTGATTTTTAAAAAGATTTTATTTATTTTGAGGGAAAGGGGAAGAGAGGGAGAAAGAGAGGGAGGGAAACATTAATGTGTGAGAGAGACATCAATTGGTTGCCTCTCCTGTGCCCCCAACTGGGGACCTGGTCTGCAACCCAGGCATGTGCCCTGACTGGGAATTGAACCAGTGGCCGTTCCCAGGCAGACGCTCAATCCACTGAGCCACACCAGCCTGGGTGATTTTTAAAACCTTACAAAATTAGACAAATTATCATTTTGTACCCCAATGAATAATTTTTGGGAAATGACCAGTAATGAGTACTAAAACCATTAATTGAAATACTGGCAAAGAGTAAATATCTAATAGTGCAAAGTGTTATGAAGATGTAAAAGAAAGACATTACATTAAGTTGTCGTATTTCCTTAGACTCCTCTTGGCTGTGACAATGCTTCATATTTTTCTTGTTTTGATGACTTCGACAGTTTTGAGGAGTATTGAGAAGTTATTTTGTGGAATGTCCCTTAAAATAGTGCTATGTGATATTTATTTTTCTCATGATTAGACGGAAGTGGTATGTTTTGCAGAGGAAGACCAGAGAGGCAAAGTACCCTTCTCGTTGCATCATATCAAAGGTACTACCAACATTATTTAACTAAGTAGCTTATAAGGTCAGTACAAATCTAAAAAAATACTAAATGAACCAGATTCGAAATTATTTTATTCAACGACAAAATTTGTTCAATATAACAGTATTACATTCAGAGACTGCTATGTTTGCTGGTTCTATTGATTCTGAAATTTGAACCCAAAAGAAATTTTTCAAAAAGCAAAAATAAAAACTCTTTGACAATGAGAAAATTATACAACTTTAATGATAGTTGTAATATTGCATCACTTGACTTCAAAATAAGACATTTTAAAAAATTTAGTCTCCAATTAAATTTTTCCTGACTTAGCTCTTCATTCTAAAAGGTTTCTTTCTACTGGTGTGTAAACATTTGGTAGTATTTAGAGGCCACTGGTGCAGTGTCTTGTCTATAAACATCAGAGTTTCACAGATCTTGGTACTTCCTGTGGCTTCATTCTGCTATGTCTCTTCAACTTCTCTTTGAGCCTAGATTTCTTCATCTTTCAAGTCAGGGAGTGGTGGTAATGGCAAAATCTGCCTCGCAGGACTGATGTGAAAATGAAATGAATCTGTGTCTGCACATCAGCTGCCACAAATGGAAAATGTAGCTAATGTTCCCTTTGCCCTTCAAGCTCAGTGACTGAGTCCCCCTGTACCCTCAATGCATACCTCCTGCCCCTCCCTTCTGATGCCATTAGTAGTAACTGCAGTCTTTTTTAAGGAAGAAAATGCTGATCTACCAACCTACTCCCCTCACTTTCTCTCTTTTGTGCCTTCAGAAATTCTGTACATTCGGTTTTACATTAGGTTTCCTTACATTTTCCTTCTTTCTTAGAGCAGTGATTTTTGTGATCTCCATTTTACTATTAAAAAGTAATATTCTCACACAAAAACTTATGTACAGTGTAGATTTTTATCCACATTAGCATCATCATGCCTTTCAGCTGGGGAACACCAGGAATACACCTGTGGTTGAACGACCTGGATTTCTTATTACGGTGAGAGAGAACACACTGTGGGGAACTATAGGTAGCTCAGTAAAAGGGTGGAACCAATTATAGGACATGGGCTTTGGTTAGGTGATTTGGGAGAAGGTCCAATGAAGTGGAGGTTGCTCCAGATTGGATGCTATCAGAAAGCCAGAGTAGTTCTATAATTGGGTAAAGAAATAGTAGTCATTCATATAACAGGAGAGAAGGATGTTTGTTCTTTTGTGTTGCACAGTGATCTTATTTTGTCCTTTCAACATAATGAAATGGGCTTGCTTTTTCTCATTTTATCCTGGTCTCAGAGTGACCTTGTCTGAGGTTGGTGGGATGGTTCATTTTACATGTCAATTCAAGTGGACTAAGCAATGCCCAGATAACTGGTGAAATATTATTTCTGGGTGTGTCTGTGAGGATGTTTCCAAGAGATATTATTTGAATCAGTAGAAGATCTCCCTCACCAGTGTAGATGGGCATCATTCATTCAATCTTTTGAAGGATTGAATAGAACAAATAGGCAGAGAAACTGAGGGTGGAGAAACCAGATAGATATTTTTCCAAAGAAGACATCCAAGTGGCCAACAGGTAAATGAAAAAATACTCAACATTCATCACTAAGGAAAGGCAAATCAAAACCATAATGAGACATCGCCTCACGTCTGTTAGAATGGCTACCATCAAGAAAGCAAGGTAAGTATTGGTAAGGATGTAGAGAAAGGGGACTCTTGTACACTGTTGATGGGGGTGTGAATTGGTGCAGTCACTATGATAAACAGTATGGAGGTCCCTCAAAAAACTAAAAATACAAATACCATATGATCCAGAAATCCATTTTCTGTGTATATAGCCAAAGGAAATTAAAACAGGATATCAAAAAGATACCTATACTCCCAAGTATTAGAAGTGTATTAATAATATACTCCTAATTATTAATAATAGTCAAGATATAGAAATCACCTAAGTGTCTGTCAATGGATAAATGGTTAAAAAAGATGTAGTAAATATATATAAACAATGGAATACACTCAGCCATGAGAAAGAATAAAATACTGCCATTTGTGATAGTATGGGTGAATCTTGAAGGCCTAAATTGCTTAGTGAGATAAGCCAGACAAAGAAGGACAAATATTGTATTATATCATTTATATGTGGAATCTAAAAAAAGGTGAACTCATTGACTCCCAGCCAAGAAGGCCACATAGGCAGACAAGCTTGCTTCTTTGCACAACCCCAACAAAATTATAACTAAAATATAGAACAACCATCCTTCAGAACTGACAGAAATTGAGTTGAATGGAAGTCTGACAACTATAGAATTAAAGTAACCACATCCATCCAGACTGGTAGGAGAAACACAGATGTGGAATGGGCTTGTCCCAGGTCCATGTGTGATGGGTGAAGATTTGGAAGGAATATCTTGGGGTGAGAAGTCCCAGCCCCACATCAGGCCCCCAGTCCACAGTTCCAGTGCCAGGAAGATAACTCCTCAAAACTTCTGGCTGCAAAGACCAGTGGGAATTGAGTCAGTGGAAGAAACTTCTGGATCCCCAAGCAGTTCCTCTTAAAGAACCCACACATGGACTCACCTACACAGACTCACTCCCTCTGGGCTCTGGCACTAGGGAGGTGGCTTGAGATGCACCAGTAGTATGCAGGGGGAGGATGATGTGTTAGACATCAAAGCAAGAGAATCCATTGTCCCATTTCTGGACCTTCCCCCCACAGAGTTGGCAGACTGGTATCATATCTAAAATTCTATCTACCTGGCTAACACTGCTTGACCCACCTTGAAGATCCCCAGACACTCTTCCCGACTCAACTTCCAAGCCCACCCAAGCTGCTTTTCCATATGAACAAACAAGCAGCAGCTGGCCTCAGTGAGCTCCAGACTCAGAACTAGCAGCCTAGATTCACAGACTGGCTTTGTCTGGGAATCCCCAAGCCCAGCATAAGCAGCAGCCATCTCAGACTGCTTTATAACTCAGGCAGGGTGGCCCTGGGCAAAACACAGGTGGGGGCTGACCTTGGCTTGCACCACTCAGGAAACCCCAGGGCCAGTGCACCAAGTGGACAGCTGTAGACCATATTAGAGCACCACTACCTTGCCCCTGCAGAGCTGATCCTCCACGGAAGGTGGAGGTTGGTGATCAGTGGTCATAGCCAGTCCTTGCAGCTGATTGGCCTGGGTAAATCCCTTCCACTGATCTGCCAAAGCAACCAAGGCTCAACTACAAGAGGAGGGTATACCCAGCCCACACAAAGGGTACACCTCAAATACCCAGTTTGGATGATAGGGGATGCTGTGCCCCTGGACCCTACAAGACACCTACTACATTAGGCCCCACTACCAAGACATGGAGTCAAAGCAGCTCTACCTAATACACAAAAACAAACACAGGGAGGCTGCCAAAATGAGGAGACAAAGAAACACAGTCCAAATGATAAAACAACTCAAAACTCCAGAAAAGGAGCTAAACGTGATGGAGAGAAGCAAGCTATCAGATGCAGAGTTCAAAA